TGGGGTCTATTGCAATATTCAACCTTTTACCTTTGAAATGTATATTGTTAACAATCTGTCATATTTATTCATCTTTAAATTATGTGGGTAATTAGGACATACTGTAGTGTATATGATATGTATGTTTATTATATAAAAACTGTGTTGGTCTAGTCGAATAGTCTCTGATAAACTAAGAGAAATGCAAAAAGTGATGCAATTGTCCCCAGTCTCCCCTACAACGTTACATGTAGCCTACTAAAGTCTCCTTATGTCTGCAGTAGTATTTATTCCTCTGGTTTTCTGTCCCTTCAGATCTCCCAGAGCAACACGTCTGTAAGGAGGAGGACGACGAAGAGGAAGAGGAAGAGGATGAGGAGGAATTCTTTGATGAGCAGGAGCCTTTAAAGATTAAAGAGGAGCAGGAGGAGCTGTGCACCAGTCAGGAGGGAGAGCCGTTTAGATGCATAGTGAAGCAGGAGATCGATGCCTTTATCCTGACTGCATCTGATGAGGAAAGTGAGCACCAGCTCCTCTCTCATGTAGCTGAGAGCCAAGATCAGGTAGGAGGCGAGCAAGCCTCAGGATCAACTAGAAGTGCAGAGCCAAGACCACAAAATCAACATTTTGAAAGCAAAAGTCCCAGTAATGATGTAAACAACACTAACTTGTCAGAGATGCACAGTGATACTCACACAGGTAAACAGCTTTTAATATGCGTCACATGTGGAAGAGATTTTAAATTTAGATCATCGCTGGAGAGACACCTGTTAATCCACACAGGTGAGAAGCCATTTTCATGCAACCAATGTGGGAAAGCTTATCAAAGTAATAGTCACCTGGTAAACCACATCAGAACCCACACAGGGGAGAAGCCATACTCTTGCCAAACATGTGGGAAACGATTCTGTCGACCATCAGAATTGAAAAACCATATCAGAATCCACTCAGGTGAGCGGAACGAATTTCCCTGCAACACATGCGGGAAGATATTCACTCAGAAATCAGTATTGAAAATTCATATTAGAACCCACACAGGTGAGACGCCATATTCCTGCCAAACATGTGGGAAAAGTTTCCGCTATTACGGTCACTTGACAGAACACATGAGAATCCACACAGGAGAGAAGCCGCACACATGCAGCTTCTGTGGGAGAGCTTTCAGGCTTCGAAGTAACTTGACAGACCACATGAGAATCCACACAGGGGAGAAGCCGTATCCTTGCAGCTTCTGCGGCAAAGATTTCAGTTCTAAAAGTAACTTGAGGAGCCACATGAGAACCCACAAAGGGGATAAGCAGTTTTCTTGCTGCTTCTGTCAAAAAGATTTTAGATCTAGCTGTAACCTGACAAGACATATGAAAACGCACACGGAGGAAGAGCTGTATGACGTCAGCACAGCGGCTCCAGAGACTCAAGAGAATCAGGAGGAAGCCAGTCGGGAAAACCTGTAAATGGATTGGTTATTCATTGTGAAAATGTTAAGAATGTAGTGTACTTGATGTTCTTTAAACTGAAAATAAGCAAAACATTCTGGTCAAGTCCACTTAAGATCAAGCTGGGCTGTGTGTGGCCGATTAACTGAAATTAGTTTGACACTATATATATATATATACTATTCATATACACTGCCTCAGCAATGAAGCAACTGAGGTTATACCCGTGGATGTCGTTCTACTTGTGAAAATACTGGAGCGCCCAATGACGCCTGCACACAAGTTTGGCATATTTCGGATATGTAACCACTGTCAATTCATGCTCTCCCGCAGGGCCGCCCCTCCCTACACGCAGAATGCATGGAGCCTTATCTTGCGGAGGGGGCCTCATCTTATGCGCAAATGCGGCGCAATTATGCGCTCCACAGTTTCCTCGCTGCGAGGCTCCGGCGGCGGCACTAACAGTTATCTTATGCCATAACTTGCTAACATGCTTGTATATAATGTATATATTGAACTTCCAACACTATATTGAACCCAAAGGTCAAACTTTGAATGATTTGCTGATTACTGTTGTTACATGATCAAATAAAGTAAACATTTCACGGTATATTGAGTTGTGAGAGTTTCTTTAGCACACTTTTTTTATTAAATGTGTTTAAAGGGTGATATGGTCATCAATAGAGTTGTATGGCTGACAATGTATGCAGAAGTGACATTAACATATAAAAATGTATTGTGAAAAGGAATCTAACTTCGACAACCAATGTTAATATCTAGGCCGTCTCCGATACCGAACTCCGATGCTGATAAGGCTCCGGTGAATGGCCGTCCAATCTTTTTAGGACTAAACCCCCCAGAATCTACACGCAAGATCAACGTAATCTGCTTAGGGGGGCGTTTACAGCGTGGCCTCTTAACACCAAACTGCCCGTCGTATCCCTATTTTAGGCACTCCAGCCACGGATGTCCGACCGCTAGGATAGCAAAACGGAGTGTGTAGTGTAGTAGGTGTTGGTGGGCTGGTAGAACCCCAGAGCAGTATCTAAACTGCCCCTGGAGGGGAAACCCTGTGTCGTTGGGAGACCCCTTGGTAATTAGGGCAGCTTCAGGACCCACAATCCCTAACCCCCTATTTTGATCCCCTTATACCAATTAAAACAATGCAAATGTAAAATCAAACCCAGCCAGAGTCAAACATTAATATCACAGCAGTGATATTACCACATCAGCAGAGCATATGTCATATTTCAACATCAATCAAAACCCAGTAGCCAATATGAAACTACAGTTTAACCTTAGCAGAGTTTCTATTCCCTTAAACAATTTCAAATCCAAATTATCAACTAATGTCAGCCTTTTCCAAGGAAGGGTGTTCTTACCTCACTCTAAGACCAAGCAGATACCTTCAGAGACCACGAGAGAGACCAGGAGTTGGGTCGAAATGTACAAAGTACAAACCGGTTTTATTAAGGTTTTAACAAAAATAGAGGATTACAAGAATCCAAAAAATAACAAAAGACACAAGGTCAAAATACAAAAGTCCTAAAGCCGTCTAATGGCGCATTTCCACTACACGGTCGGCCTCGGCCACGCTCGGTACGGCTCGGTACGGCTTGGCCTTAACAGGGCCGACTCACTTCATGCTGCGCTTCCATTACAGTTTAGGAACTGGGGTAGTTACTATAGTAACGCAGTGTAGGCGGAGCCGTGACGTCATCTTCAATGAGAACTCCAGAAACACAACACAGCCGTTAGCTGTTAGCACTCAGAGCTCACAGCTCCTTATATATGTTCAGAAACTCGACAAAAGTTAAACAAGTACACACCACAGACTGCCTGTATCATGGTGAATACAGTCGCTGCTTTATTTATGTCTGTATAGGCCGTTGTTGTGAGTGTGGGCGGTCGGAGCATATACTGCGTTAGCTTAGCCAATCTCCACCTAGAAAAACACGCATTTTAAAAGGTTTTTCGCCTGCCGTCTGTCTGCAGACTTGACAAAGCATTAATTCATGGTTTTTACTAACCGGTATCAGTATGTTGTTACTTCGGCATCATTTTGAAACGTGTATTACAATTAAATCACGGTCAAATATGTCCATCTTGTTGTAGTTGTAGCCCCCTTGCCAGCGCTCCTCTCTCTAGTTTAGCATACTCAGCCCGACTCAGCCCTGTTTGTTGGCCTCGATAGAACCACAATTTTCTCGGGCCAGAAAAGACGTGAAAAAGTGGCCCCGGGCCGGGCCGGGCCGGAACTAGGCCTAGTGGAAGCGCAACCAAAAACGGGCACGGCACGACACGGCACGCTTAAAGCGAGCTCCGCGCTGTAGTGGAACTGCGCCATAAAAGAGCCCAAACCCAGGCCCAGGGCCCAGGGCTTGGGCCTCAGAAAACGTCCTCCAAGCTCTCATGCCTCCAAGCCTCAAAAAGCCCCCCTTTCTCTTCACACATCATCTTTTATAGTCTCTAGCCTCCTCCCTCTCTGTGTCAGGTGGTTTACCCTTTTCTATCTTTGAGGGAGAAGGAGGTCACATATGTTCAACTTTTACTTAATGAACAATTAAAAATGTAAAGTTAAAATAAAACAAATAAAGACTTATAGTAATAATATGCCATTTAACAAGAGGGAATATGAACGTTTTTCATGAAAGCAGAACACATTGTCAATGTCATGTTTAGAATCAAGTTTTTTTCTTTAAACATTTAATTTCAAATATGCAAACTTTATACTTTAAATTATTAACAGAGACTTCATTTATTAACAGAGATACGGACAGCTTGTCTCTATGATTCGCTTGCCCAGGAAGTTGATTCGACCCTTTGCGTAGGCCGCCTGCATCCTGTGCTAAGTTCATTGTCTTCATACCTGCTGTAACCGCTCTCAAGGTGTCAAAAACCACAAGCGCCTTCTCAGAATTGTAGCTGGAACTTTTACGCTTTTATTGCCCCATCTAGCATAGGTCAAAAGTTCAGGATGTTCTATCTAGTTTCACATGCCTGGTTTCACACGTCTGAAAAGACATGATGGAAACATACATCCTTTCTATTTACAGCCAATTTAGCATCTTTTTATCAATGGTAAGCTTAATAGAGGTAGGTGAGGTAAAGGTCAGGTCTGACACGGCCACTTAAACAGCAGAACTGTCAACAATTGGTGGTTGTATTTTAATTTAAATCTGCGAAGTAACAAACTAAATCTGTAAATAAATGTAGTTAGAAAGTACAACATGTGCCTGCAAAATGTAGTGGAGTAAAAGTATAAAGTAGCAAACTTTGAAAATACTCAACTTAAACAAGTTCCTCGTTTTTTTTACTCTTTTTCAAGTACTTGTGTAAATGTACTTAGTTACTTTACACCACTGGTAATTACGTTACATTTTAATCTGTTACTCACCAAGCCGACACACTCATTTGGATTCATGTCCATTAATACAAGTGGACACGAAGGCGAGGGTGAGCAACCCACTTCTTTTATTTTTTATTATGAATCCTGACTTCTGCAAACTCCAGCCCAGTAGAGGGCGGTAAATCACTAAGTCGTTGCTCACAAATGCCAATTAAATAAGAAGTAGAAGAAGAAAACATGCAGCGGAAGTAAACAATAAACGCTGTTACCGTTAGCTCAGCGCTATCGATGTATTGATTCAACTATTGTTGTATTCTTTTCATGTGGTGAAACAATGACTTCTATTATGGCAACAATGTCTTCAGTTGACTTTTTGAGAGAGTTTGTTAACGAGCGGCTCTCTGCTGCTGCTGAAGAAATATTTGGAGTTTTTCAGAAAACTATCGTAAATTACGAGGAGGAGATCAGACGGCAGCGCAGACTGCTGGATGTCGTTTTGAAACCGGAAATAAATATATACAGAATAGGTAGGTAACAGGTGTACTAACTGCATTAACAGAAAACATAGACATTCGCAACGTTGCTTTTACTTAAAGTGGACCTATCATGCTATATTTGAAAAATATATTGTAGGGCCATACCTATATAAAACATGTCTGTGAAGTTTTTTTTTCAAAATACCAAACAGATCATCCATTGTAGCCATGCCTCATATTGCTCAAACCCCTCTTTTGCAGCCCTGTTAGAGAAACGCAGATTTTGGGTCCTTAGCTTGAAAAAAATAAATAAGAGGAGGCGGAGCTAATGCCTGATCAGAATTCTACCGGAGATAAAGTTAAATTCGGTTGTGATAAAACGCCATCCTGTTTAAACCACGTCAAGGATTATTTCTGAAATAGTATGGAGCTCAAATGCTTTTTCTCTTGCAGGTTTATCACAAGGTGAGTTCTTTTTTTATTTCCTGCTTTTTAACACTAGAACCGCCAGAGATTCTTTATACCTAAAACCGCCACTTGGGTCAAATTGACCCGCTATTAGAATGCATTGATTTTCAAGGTAAAATGTTCTTTTATTGAACAGAGAGTTTTGATCGCACAGGGATGAAACGTATACCAATATAATCTGTGGACTCTCAGGGCTCGACATTATAAATGGCCCGCTGGGCCGGAAGCATTATTTAGACACCGCGGCCAGCATAACGTACTTTCAACTCGCCCCACAGCTGTTTGCTGCGGAGCGCAGCGCGAGCAGTCTCCCGTGAGTCAGTTCGGATGGAAATCTGTATCAGCTCGTTGTACACCCGTTTTTTAAAGGTTTGCGTACGGAGGAAAAGAGAGAGGGTTTTATTTTCTGACGCTGCGTGAGTTCCCAGACGCACCGGGGACACATATGTATGTATAAAAGACATCACAAAGTGCATTTTGCATGATAGGTCCCCTTTAAGTTCCATTATGTGTACAGCATTATCCTATTTTATTTGTTCTCTGTCCCTCCAGAGCTCCCACAGCATCCTGTCTGTGAGGAGCAGGTTCTCTCTGAGCAGCAGCTCTGTATTCAGGAGAGGAACTCCAGTCTGGACCAAGAGGACCCAGAGCCTCCACAGATTAAAGAGGAGCAGGAGGAGCTGTGCACCAGTCAGGAAGGAGAGCAGCTTGGACTGGAGCCGGAGACTGATGCCTTCATGTTGACTGCTACCAAGGAGGAGAGTGAGCACCAGCTCCTCTCTCACAACTCTCATGTAGCTGAGAGCCAAGATCAGAAAGGAGGCGAGCAAGCCTCAGAGCCAAAACCACATCACAAAGGCAAAAGTCAAAGTAAAGATGTAAACATGAACTTGTCAGAGATGCACAGTGATACTCAACAGTCTTTAAAATGTGATACATGTGGAATGTATTTCCAGGAAAAATCATCACTGGACAAACATCTGAAAATCCACACAATAAAAAAAACACTTTCTTGCAACACTTGTGAGAAAATATTTGCTAATAAATCAGAATTAATCATTCATACAAGAATCCACACAGGTGAGAGGCCATATTTGTGCCAAATGTGTGGGAAAGCTTTCAAAAAAAATAGTCACTTGAAAGAGCACGTGAGAATTCACACAGGGGAGAAGCCATTTTCGTGTCAGACGTGTGGGCAATGTTTCCGTCGATCATCAGCTTTGAAAAATCATCTGAAATTCCACATGAGGGGAAGCCATGTTCTTGCAAAACATGTGGGAAACGTGTCCGGTAAAAATACCATATTCAGTAGTAACTTGGGAAGCTACACAGAAACACACACAGGGGAAAAGTTGAATCCCTGCTGCACAGAGCCTCCACAGATTGAAGAGGAGCAGGAGGAGCTGTGCACCAGTCCGGAGGGAGAGCAGCTTGGACTGGAGCAGGACACTGATGCCTTCATGTTGACTGCTACTGAGGAGGAGAGTGAGCACCCGCTCCTCTCTCACAACTCTCATGTAGCTGAGAGCCAAGATCAGGAAGGAGGCGAGCAAGACTCAGGGTCAACTGGACATGCAGAGCCAAGACCACAGAATGAATATCACAAAAGTCAATATAATAATGTAAACAACACACATTTGTCAGAGTTGCACTGTTATACTGACTCGGGTTAACAGCCTTTAAAATATAACAAATGTAGAAAAGATTGTACCTCTAATTCATTACTTGAGACACCTGAAAATCCGCACAGGAGACAGGCCACTTACATTCAAAACTTGGTAAATCTTTTCAACATAATGGTCACTTGCAGGGTTAGGAGTACTACTTTAAAAAGGTCTTCCATTGCAATTACAAATGGCCTTTTAAACCATTCAAGTAACCTAATGCAAGTCTCACAAAATACAACTAATGGGACCTGATAACTGTCCATTACTTTTGTTTTGTACTTTCTCTATGAAATGCAATGCCAATAAATACAAGAACAAAATAATATCAATAAGATGGAGTAAACTTAAAGGTGGGGTACGTCATTTTGGAGAAACCAGCTCGAGTGCGCTAGATTTTGAAAATACACAACCGGAAAAAATCTGCCACTTCCTTACAGAACCCCTCCTCCAACACACACGAACGCGCACATGACCAATGAGGGCACGAGATAAGTTTGTGCACAGATGAAAGGCTGACAGGCAGGTAGGCCATCCAGTTATTTTAGCCGGGCCGGCTAAAATGATTGGTCGTGCTTTTTACAGTACTGCGGCTTCCACAGATGACATTTTTTTATGGATCTTTTGTCAAAGCACTTAAGATATTCATTGCTATCGGGATGTTAAGAGCGTTCCATGGAATATAACAAAAAGTGTATCTCGAGCCGGTTTCTCAAACGTACCTATCCCACCTTTAAGTGTATGTAAGACGACAGAAATCCTATACTTTAGAAAATAATAAACAAAGATATCTTGAAAACAAAAAAGGTATCTTCTGCTCATTGTTTTTGTTTTTAAGAGAAACCTGCCTTTTATTAAGCATATGTATGAAAAAATAAAAAATGAACGAGGAATGTGATTACGTCTTATTTTCTGCAACTGTATGAGAATACAGTTTATATTTTTACATTTGATGATGTTATTACCAGGGGTGGAGGGATTACTCGTATTATTTACTACAGTAAAGGAAGCAATACCACAGTGTAAAATTACTCTGTTAGCCTACTTGTAAAAGTCCTGCACTCAAAATTGTACTTAAGTTAAAGTATAAAAGTTTTAGCATCAAAATATACTTTAGGTACCAGAAGGATAAGTACTCATCATTCAGAATGGCACACATAGGCACCACATGTTTTAAACTAGAGAATGCAATTCCTGAAGAAATTGCTAGTGGGAATGCTTTATGCTGAAAAGCTGACGCTAAACTGCTATGCTGAAATGTAATGTGTAAGAAGAAAGTGAAGAATTTAGATTGAAATTATACATGAACACTGGGGGCTTGAATGTGTGATGAGAGAAGAAAATAAAGTAAAAAGGCTTGGAAAAGCAGCAGAATATTTGAACTGCAAACTTTTGAACTAACTTGATGGTGAATGATCTGTCGCCATGCCAACGGCATTTGATGACATCCCATAATATGCTTAGATGCGTTGATGGCTGCATCGTTACCAAACCTGTGAAGTTTTGGGCCGTTTGGAGCATTTTCACTGAAGTTATGAGAAAACCGTGTTTCATGGTGAGCATTGTGTCGCCATGGCAACGGCATTTGAAGAAATCTCAAAACGGTCCCGTAGATGTCTTCACGGCTGGACTGTTAGCACATGTGAAGTTTGAGCACTTTTTGAACATTTTCATAGGAGTTATAGCGACATAGTTTTATGGCGAGGGATGCGTTTCCATGGAAACGGCATATGGTGAGATGTCAGATTTGACGTAGAGCTGTTGAGGCATGGAGAGGTGATATACAGGTGAAGATTGTGGGACGACCGGACCGTGTCCATTGGAGTTACAGCGACATCGTGTTTTATGGCGAGGGATGCGTTTCCATGGAAACGGCATATGATGACACCCCATAATTGACGTAGAGCTGTTGAGGGCAGGACCATTAACCATTATCTGAAGTCTGGTGCTGTTTTGACCCTTTTCATAGGCGTTACGACAACATCGTGTTTTATGGCGAGGGATAACAGATATCGGTGAAATTTCAAAGCGTGAAACATGTCAAGGAACTTGAGCATCTGAAGTGTACTTTTTGTGTACTTTCGGGTTAATAATGTGGCCTTTTTGGCAGATTAACTAAAGGTGTGCGGCTGCTGTGGTGGGGAAAGGTGAGGCTGAATTTACAATGGAGTATAATGGAGACATGTTGAAAGTTTTTGTCACTTCATGCCCTCAAGAGGCATTTTGTTTAATTATTTTGCTTAATTTCTTTTATCTTTCAAGCTACGAGATGTTTTTCTACGTTTGTCATGAAAAATTATGTCTCAGGAATGTAGGGTTTGGGAATTATGGCAGGTTTAAAAGAAAATATGAAGGCAAAATTAAATCTGTCCTCCACTCTAGCTGTGACATCACGCACTCTAAAATCTGAAGAAGGCCTCTTTACCAAGGTCTGAACAATGTTTAATATCTCTAAAAGTAAGAATCAGATTTAGAAGTTGTGTTACACGAATAATGTCAGAAAGATGTGTGACATTTTAAAGTTGGAATGAGGTTTCTGAGTGAAAGTATGAAGGAGCAGTTAGCAGTTGAAGAAGGAGCAGTTAGCAGTTGAAGTTGCATGAAGATTGTTGAAGTCTGAAGAGTTTCTCCATTGACTTCCATGTTAAAAATGGGATGTATTATGGGATGTATCTCTGGAATTATGAAAGTTATGAATGATAAAAGTAATAGCCATTGATTCCCGACCGAGCTGAACGTTTTGATCTTTGAACGGAGTTTCTGCGATGTTCAATGTGGGAGAAGAAGCAGCGCAAATAACCCGGCGGAATAATAAAGAATTTTGTGCGTAGCATAACAGATAGTTGGAATGCTGTGTCAGCATTTCAACTAAATGATTGTATAATAATTATTTATGTATGAATGTGTTCATAACTTGACCTTGGTAAAGGTGGCTTTTATTATAATTATTTTATACACACAAGCTGGCTAGCTTAACATATACAAATGTATTGGTGCATTTTTATTTTGCATTATAATTTAAATCTGCGAAGTAACAAACTAAATCTGTAAATAAATGTAGTGAGTAGAAAGTACAACATTTGCCTACAAAATGTAGTGGAGTAAAAGTATAAAGTAGCACACTTTGAAAATACTCAACTTAAATACAAATTCCTCGTTTTTTTACTATTCTTCTAGTACTTGTGTAAATGTACTTAGTTACTTTACACCACTGGTAATTACGTTACATTTTAATCTGTTACTCACCAAGCCTACACACTCATTTGGATTCATGTCCATTAATACAAGTGGACACGAAGGCGAGGGTGAGCAACCCACTTCTTTTCTTTTTTATTATTAATCCTGACTTCTGCAAACTCCAGCCCAGTAGAGGGCGGTAAATCACTAAATCGTTGCTCACAAATGCCTATTAAATAAGAAGTCGAAGAAGAAAACATGCAGCGGAAGTAAACAATAAACGCTGTTACCGTTAGCTCAGCGCTATCGATGTATTGAGTCAACTATTGTTGTATTCTTTTCATGTGGTGAAACAATGACTTCTACTATGGCAACAATGTCTTCAGTTGACTTTTTGAGAGAGTTTGTTAACGAGCGGCTCTCTGCTGCTGCTGAAGAAATATTTGGAGTTTTTCAGAAAACTATCGTAAATTACGAGGAGGAGATCAGACGGCAGCGCAGACTGCTGGATGTCGTTTTGAAACCGGAAATAAATATACACAGGATAGGTAGGTAACACGTACTGACTGCATTAACAGAAAACATAGACATTCGCAACGTTGCTTTTACTTAAGTTCCATTATGTGTACAGCATTATCCTATTTTATTTGTTCTCTGTCCCTCCAGAGCTCCCACAGCATCCTGTCTGTGAGGAGCAGGTTTTCTCTGAGCAGCAGCTCTGTATTCAGGAGAGGAACTCCAGTCTGGACCAAGAGGACCCAGAGCCTCCACAGATTAAAGAGGAGCTGGAGGAGCTGTGCACCAGTCAGGAGGGAGAGCAGCTTGGACTGGAGCCGGAGACTGATGCCTTCATGTTGACTGCTACTGAGGAGGAGAGTGAGCACCAGCTCCTCTCTCACAACTCTCATGTAGCTGAGAGCCAAGATCAGAAAGGAGGCGAGCAAGCCTCAGAGCCAAAACCACATCACAAAGGCAAAAGTCAAAGTAAAGATGTAAACAACATGAACTTGTCAGAGATGCACAGTGATACTCAACAGTCTTTAAAATGTGATGCATGTGGAATGTATTTCCAGGAAAAATCATCACTGGACAAACATCTGAAAATCCACACAATAAAAAAAACACTTTCTTGCAACACTTGTGAGAAAATATTTGCTAATAAATCAGAATTAATCATTCATACAAGAATCCACACAGGTGAGAGGCCATATTCGTGCCAAATGTGTGGGAAAACTTTCAAACAAAATAGTAACTTGATAGCGCATATGAGAATCCACACAGGGGAGAAGCCATTTTCGTGCCAAATGTGTGGGAAAGCTTTCAAAAAAAATAGTCACTTGAAAGAGCACGTGAGAATTCACACAGGGGAGAAGCCATTTTCGTGTCAAATGTGTGGACAAGGTTTCTGTCGATCATCAGCTTTGAAAAATCATCTGAAATTCCACATGGGGGGAAGCCATATTCTTGCAAAACATGTGGGAAACGTGTCCGGTAAAAATACCATATTCAGTAGTAACTTGGGAAGCCACACAGAAACACACAGAGGGGAAAAGTTGAATCCCTGCAGCACAGAGCCTCCACAGATTGAAGAGGAGCAGGAGGAGCTGTGCACCAGTCCGGAGGGAGAGCAGCTTGGACTGGAGCAGGAGACTGATGCCTTCATGTTGACTGCTACTGAGGAGGAGAGTGAGCACCAGCTCCTCTCCCACAACTCTCATGTAGCTGAGAGCCAAGATCAGAAAGGAGGCGAGCAAGACGAGCCAAAACAACAGAATCAACGTCCATAAATTCAATATAATAATGTAAACCACACACATTTGTCATTGTTGCACTGTTATACTGACTCGGGTTAACAGCCTTTAAAATATAACAAATGTAGAAAAGATTGTAACTATAATTCATTATTTGAGAGATACCAGAGAATCCACACAGGAGACAGGCCACTTACATTAAAAGCTTACATTAAAAAGCTTACATTAAAAACTACTTACCCCTAGTAGTACTCCTACCCCTAGTACTCGGGGTAGGAGTACTACTTTAAAAATGTCTTCCATTGCAATTAGAAATTACCTTTTAAACCATTCAAGTAACCTAATGCAAGTCTCACAAAATACAACTAATGTGGCCTGATAACTGTCCATTCATTTTGTTTTGGATTGTCTCTATTAACCCTTATGCCCTCCTCGGGCATTTTCGTACATCTTTCCCGACTTTTTTTAATTTTTATTTAGTGATAATTTCAGCTGTGTTACAGCTTTTGGTATGGAATTTTGCCAGAAGTCTTCTTTTTAAATCCATTGTTGTTTACTCTTACATGTTTTATGTACTCTCGTGATGCATTTTGCACCCTCTCGACACCTTCGTGGCAAAAATGTACACGCCCAAAAAACTGCTATTAAATCCATGCATCAATATTTTGTCGTCCTGTTTTTTTCATGAATCTCTTAAACAACTTCTAACGTGCTCAAAACTTTGGTGGTTATTAGAGTCTTGGATATGTCAAAGATTAGCAACAAAGTTGATTTGACTGCATTATTATTTTTTACGTAGTGTCAGATACTACCTCTGGACACCTTCGTGGCCAAAAATGCCTCATTGACTTCCATTCAAACCACATTTTTTGATCTCACTGCCATTGCAGTATAAAACCATGCATTTTGTAATGTCAGCATTTCCTTTAGAAGAAAAGTAGTGATATTTGAAATGTCTACTACACCAGATTCAACCGTTTTCCCACTGCAGGCCGATGCATGAAATTCTTACATTTTTGCCAGTTATATTATGGAGCAGTGTGACTACCAGGGGGCCCCGAGAGTGGTGTGTGTGTGTGTGTTTGTGTGTCTGTGTGTCTGTATTTGTGTGTGTGTCATTTCCAGCAGCAGACCAGCAGGTCCTGCAGCATGTGACCTGGTGCTCTCTCTCAGGTGGTAGAAAAACTATTTCTTAGGCCTGTGCACAACAGCACACACCTCTCCTCCCTCTCTGTGTGTGTGTGTGTGTGTGTGTGTGTGTGTGTGTGTGTGTGTGTGTGTGTGTGTGTGTGTGTGTGCGTGTGTTTGTGTGTGTGAGAGAATCTGTAAGCATGCACGGATCATTTCATGGGTAAAAAAAGGGCATCTTTTGAGGGATGTGTTTCATGTGTCTTTGAAGAGCTGCTTGATTACTCAAAAACAAAAACAACTGTTAGTGTGTTTATGCACCTAGCTGCCAAAGACAAACATGCAGTTTGACGAGGGGTTATTTCATTAGTGAGCAGAGAAGGAGAAAGACCTGGAGCAAAGAGAAGGAACAAAAATGAAGAAGCATTTCAGTGCAGAAGAGACTTTAGAAATAATCATGCAGCCTTCATCTGCCAGCGAGCTGCAGGACTCACCTGAAGAAGACACAAGCTTCGAGGGGGGGTCTGACACGGAATGCTCTCTGGAGTCCAGCATTTCTTTGAGTTCCTCTGACCTTTCCTCTGAAAGTGGAGAGGATGCCATTGAACACAACTTTTGATCAGAAAAACAGCAAAGGTAAGACATATTTGCCGTTTTGGCTCCGTAAAGCTACGTGGTGTGTTGTCTGGGTTTGCCTTCGCTGCCCTGAGTTTTGGTCGTACAGTGATGATACTTATACCTCTAGAATCTGTGGAATCTCAGCTTTAATCTGATATCTTGTTTGTGCAGATCCGATAAGTAATAAAGTATTTCTACCGTGAGTTCTGTGCTAAGTGCGTTAGCATTTTTCCGCTCAGGGCTAATTCAGAGGCTTGATATTACCCTTGTGTTTTGTTTAGCTAAAAATGGTTAATATTGTCGGATAGCTGAGTTTCTTCCCGTTAAGTGGGTATGACACATTCATAGTTTGTTAAATGTTAAGAAGCCCTAACCCTAACTGGTTAAGAGAAACCTGTCTTTTATTACCTGTTACGCACCGCCCCCCCGGTACCGGGCGGATAAACGCGTCATTTGCAGGAAACAACGTCTAAGGAATCTTAATATTTAATAAACTATGAATGTTTTATATCCATGTAACGGGAAGAAACTCAGCTAACTGATCTTTTTAATTTTTTTTCCCAAAAAAACCCACAATGCTAACACTCAGCCTCTGAATTAGCCACGAGCGAAAAAATGTAACCTAAAACTGCACCTAAACTCACTCATAACTCCCTTATTACTTATCCTAGATGCACAGCCAACCCCTCGTTTTGCATCACCTGGAGACACAGAATCTGTGTAAAAAACCTCAACACTCAGTGATAAACATTTGCAACGCTATAAACGAAAGCGTACATCAGAACATGTGGAGCTAGGTAGCTAGAAACGCTAACATGGCTTACCTTGGTCAAAACTGGTCTTCAATGGCATTAAAACGATAAAAAAACGATGCTGCAGTTAATCCATAGGTTAATCCAATGTGTCTGTGTCCTCTTTGAAATGATTTCTGATAATTCATAAGCAATAAAACTGCTTTTTCGTTTCCAAATGTCAGAGCTAGAGATAGGTCCACTCTGACGCAAAACTATAATTTACAGTTTTTTACTAAAAAAGAAAAATCTGAATTTTCTTTAAAATAAAAAACATCTATATTGATTCTGACACTTCTACATCCAACTCACAGATGTAACCTTGCTTTGATAAAAGAAATTATTCATATAACCCTTTTAGAAGTTAAGTTGTAGTCATTTGTTTTGGGCATGTCATTTTCGAGCCTGAAACATGAAAAACAGGCTTGGTGCTTAACAGGTTTATTAAGCATAAGTATGAAAATATAAAAAATGTACGAGGAATCTGATTACGTCGTATTTTCTGCAACTGTATGAGAATACAGTTTATATTTTTACATTTGATGATGTTATTACCGGGGATGGAGGGATTACTCAGATACTTTACTACAGTAAAGGTAACAATACGACAGTGTAAAAGTCCTCAGTTACTTCTACTGACTACGTCCTGCATTCAAAATTGTACTTACGTAAAAGTACAAAAGTATTGCCATCAAAATATACTTTAGGCACCAGAAGGATAAGTAAGTAGGCCTATTCATCATTCAGAATGGCATAAATAAGCAGCACATATTTTAAATGATTGTTTAATAATTCGTTATGTATTCATGTGTTCATAACTTGCACTTGGTAAAGGTGGCTTTTATTATAATTATTGTATACACACCCACAGGCTAGTTTAACCTATAATAATGTATTAGTGAATTTATTACATTACATTGCATTTAGCTGATGCTTTTATCCAAAGCGACTTACAATAAGTGCATTCGACCAGGAAGATACAAACTTGAATAAAACAGAATCACATAAGTACATCAGGTTTCATAGAGCCAAAACATTTCAAGTGCTTTAGATAAGCCAGTCCTTTATTAGTATATAAGTGCTTTGTTAGCAATTCTTTGTTAGTAATTCTATCGCTCCAAGTGGAGTCGAAAGAGATGAGTTTTCAGTCTGCCCCGGAAGATGTGTAGGCTATCTGCTGTCCTGATTTCATTGGGGAGCTCATTCCACCATTTTGGAGCCAGGATAGCAAACTGACGTGTTTTTGCAGATGGGAACTTGGGTCCCCCTCACAGTGCTGGTGCAGCGAGCCGTTTGGCCGATGCAGAGTGGAGTGCATGTGCTGGGGTGTACAGTTTAACCATGTTCTGGATGTAGGAAGGGCCAGATCCATTCACAGCATGGTACGCAAGTACCATTGTCTTGAAGTGGATTCTAGCAGTTACTGGAAGCCAGTGAAGTGAGCGGAGGAGCGGCATGGTGTGGGAACATTTTGGAAGGTTGACGACCAGACGAGCCGCTGCATTCTGGATGAGCTGCAGAGGTCGGATGGCACATGCAGGTAGACCAGCCAGGAGGGAGTTGCAGTAGTCTAGGCGTGAGATGACGAGAGCCTGGGCCAGAAGTTGCGTAGTTTTCTGGGTCGGGAGGGGACGTATCCTTCTGATGTTGTAAAGAGTGTATCTGCAGCAGCGGGTTGTAGCAGCGATGTTTGCTCTGAAGGACAGTTTGTTATCTAGGGTCACACCCAGATTCCTTGCAGTCTGAGTCGGGGAAACAACAGAGGTGCTGATGTTGATTGTAAGGTCAAGAGTGGGACAATCTTTTCCCGGAAAAGCAGTTCAGTCTTGTCAAGGTTGAGCTTGAGGTGGTGAGCAGACATCCACTGAGAGATGCCAGCTAGACAAGCAGAGATGCGTGCGACGACCTGGGTCTCTTTATATATATTTTGTATTATACATCTTCGAAGTAACTTGCAACTAAATCAGTAAATAAATGTAGTGAGTAGAAAGTACAACATTCCCCTACAAAATGGAGTGGAGTAAAAGTATAAAGTAGCTAACTTTGAAAATGCTCAACTTAAGTCAAAGTTACGTTTTTTTAGTTTTTTTTAACGCTTTTCTAGTAGGCCTACTTGTGTAAATGTACTTAGTTACTTTACACCACTGGTAATTACGTTGCATTTCAATCTGTTACTCCCCAAGCCTACACACTCATTTGGATTAATGTCCATTAATACAAGTGGACACGAAGGCGAGGGTGAGCAACCCATTTCCTTTCTTTTTTCAAATGATGTTTTACTGGCAATAGACTTATGCTTCTCCAGCCCAGTAGGGGGCGGTAAATCACTAACTCGTTGCTCACAAATGACAATCAAAAAGAAGTAGAAGAAGAAAACACGCACCGGAAGTAAACAAACCACGCTCTGTTACAGTTGGTTCGGCGGTATCGATTAATGAGTGAACTAAGATACGATGTTATAGTAGTTTTGTGGGAAAAACACTATATTTAGGCAACAATGTCTTCGGCTGAGTTTTTGAGAGAGTTTGTTAACGAGCGACTCTCTGCTGCTGCTGAAGAAATATTCAGTGTTTTTCAGAAAACCATCGTCGAATATGAGGAGGAGATCAGACGGCAGCGCAGACTGCTGGATGTCGTTTTGAAACCGGATATACAAATACAAAGGATAGGTGTGTAAAACGTACTCACTTCAATAGCAGAAAACAAAAGAATTGTCAACGTTGCATGTCCTCAAGTTCCATTATGTGTACAGCATTATCCTATTTTATTTGTTCTCTGTCCCTCCAGAGCTCCCACAGCATCCTGTCTGTGAGGAGCAGGTTTTCTCTGAGCAGCAGCTCTGTATTCAGGAGAGGAACTCCAGTCTGGACCAAGAGGACCCAGAGCCTCCACAGATTAAAGAGGAGCAGGAGGAGCTGTGCACTAGTCAGGAGGGAGAGCAGCTTGGACTGGAGCCGGAGACTGATGCCTTCATGTTGACTGCTACTGAGGAGGAGAGTGAGCACCAGCTCCTCTCTCACAACTCTCATGTAGCTGAGAGCCAAGATCAGAAAGGAGGCGAGCAAGCCTCAGGGTCAACTGGACATGCAGAGCCAAGACCACAGAATGAATATCACAGAAATCCCAGTTACGAAGGAAACAACATTAATTTGTCAGAGATGCACACAGGTAAACAGCCTTTCAATTGTGACTTATGTGGAAAAGACTTTCAAAATAACTCGTCACTGAAGACGCACCTCAGATTTCACACAGGTGAGAGGCCATTTCCTTGCAATACATGTGGGAGAGCTTTCAGACATAAAAGCCACTTGAAACAGCATATTAGAATTCACACAGGGGAGAAGCCATTTCTGTGCCAAACGTGTGGGAAGCGATTCTGTCGAACATCAACATTTAAAAGGCATATTATGAAATTCCACATGGGTGGAAGACGTTTTCTTGCAAAAGATGTGGGAAATGTGTCCGATATGATGTTCGATTGAGAGTCCACATGAGAAGCCGCACAGGGGAGGATCCGCATTCTTGCATCATCTCTGGTAAAAATGTCGTATTCAGTAGTAACTTGGGAAGCCACACAGAAACACACACAGGGGAAAAGTTGAATCCCTGCTGCACAGAGCCTCCACAGATTGAAGAGGAGCAGGAGGAGCTGTGCACCAGTCATGTAGCTGAGAGCCAAGATCAGAAAGGAGGCGAGCAAGACTCAGGATCAAATAGACATGCAGAGCCAAGACACACTGCTCTGCTTTCTGCAGTGACCTCAGCAGCTGTTCTCACTGTAAACATCGCGTCACGATTGAAGCAGTTAATAAAACAAAATAAGTAGCCTATTATCCAGGGGAGAGACCGTTTGCAGAGCTGTCATTGGTTGAGATCGGTCCAGCCGTGCATCACGCCTCTTTTAAACATTACTGTTGCCGGAAATACATCCGCAGAGGATACATCAGTATCCTCGGTCATAGCCCCTCCAGAGAGCCTCCTTGATGCTCGATCCTCGATGTGCATTTAGAGAAATTAGATGTCCTTCATCATGGCACGTTGAAATCGATTTCCGGGTCACTACCGGAGGACCGAGGAGGCAGAAATTTGACAATTGAGAAAGGGCTACAGTCAACTAGACATGCAGAGCCAAAACAACAGAATAAACGTCACAAAATTCAATATAACACTGCAAACAACACACATTTGTCAGAGTTGCACTGTCATACTCACACAGGTTAACAGCCTTTAAAGGTCTCTTATCATGCAAAATGCACTTTTTGATGTCATTTATACATAAATATGTGTCCCCGGTGTGTCAGGGAACTCACAAAGTGTCAGAAAACAAAACCCTCTCTCTTTTCCTCCGTACCCGAATATCTCAAAACGGGGGTACAACGGAGTTGATCCAGATTTGCTGGCGATATGACGTAATATCGGAAATGTAGGCTGGCTTTACTCCCACGGCACTATCAGAAACGTCGCGTCAGAAACAATGCGTGACATGTTTTGGAAGTAATATGGTCTTTGTTTACATTAGCAAGCATCGATAACACTCGGAGCCAACCTCTACTGGAGAGAGTATGTGTAGAAAAGCAGGAAATTAAAAAAGGAACTCACCTTGTAGTAAACCCGCAAGAAAAAAAGCATTTGAGCTCCATACTGTTTCAGAAATAATCCTTGATGTGGTTTGGAACATGATATGGCATTTAATGACTGCAGCATGTAACTGTATCTGAGCAGTGCAGCCACTCATCTCTCTGCAGCTCACAGCTTGTCTGCGTGCTCTAAAGGGGGAAGGGCCAGCAGCTACTGACCCAGAATCAGCAGTTCTCTAACAGGGCTGAAACAGAGGGATATGAGGGATGTCTAAAATGCATGATACGTTTGGTATTTTGTGCAACACACTTCATAGACATGTTTTTTGTATTTATTTTATATATCTGAGACCCATAATATATGCCTAAAAATAGCATGATTGAATATCTTAAAAATATAACACATGGGGAAAAGATTGTAACTATAATTCCTTACTTGAGACACCTGAGAATCCACACAGGAGACAGGCCACTTACATTTAAAACTTGGTAAATCTTTTCAACATAATGGTCACTTGCAGGGTTAGGAGTACTACTTTAAAAAGGTCTTCCATTACAATGACAAATTAGCTTTTATTTAAACCATTCAAGTAACCTAATGCCAGTATCACAAAATACAACTAATGGGACCTGATAACTGTCCATTACTTTTGTTTTGTATTGTCTCTCTGAAATGCAATGCCAATAAATACAAGAACAAAATAATATCAATAAGATGGAGTATACTTAAGTGTATGTAAGACGACAGAAATCCTATACTTTAGAAAAGAATAAACAAAGATATCTGGAAAACAAAAAAGGTATCTTCTGCTCATTGTTTTTGTTTTTAAGAGAAACCTGCCTTTTATTAAGCATATGTATGAAAAAATAAAAAATGAACGAGGAATGTGATTACGTCTTATTTTCTGCAACTGTATGATAATACAGTTTATATTTTTACATTTGATGATGTTATTACCAGGGGTGGAGGGACTACTCGTATTATTTACTACAGTAAAGGAAGCAATACCAGTGTAAAATTACTCTGTTAGCCTACTTGTAAAAGTCCTGCACTCAAAATGATACTTAAGTAAAAGTACACAAGTATAAGCATCAACATGTACTTAGAAGGAAAAGTACTCAGAATGGCACAAATAAGCACCACATAATTTAAATGAATGTATAATCATTATTAATATATTTATTTGTTCATAACTTTCACTTGGAAAAGGTGGGGTTTATTTGAATTATTTTATACACACGCTGGCTAGCTTAACCTATAATAATGTATTAGTACATTTATATTTTGTATTATCTAAATCTTCGAAGCAACTATACTAACTCTGTAAATAAATGTAGTGAATAGAAAGTACAACATTCGCCTACAAAATGGAGTGGAGTAAAAGTATAAAGTAGCAAACTTTGAAAATACTCAACTTAAGTCAAAGTACCTAGTTTTTTTTAACGCTTTTTCTAGAACTTTTGTAAATGTACTTAGTTACTTTACGCCACTGGTAATTACGTAGCATTTTAATCTGTTACTCACCAAGCCTACACACAAATGTGGACACGAAGGCGGGGTGAGCAACCCACTTCCTTTCTTTTTTCAAATGATTTTTTACTGGCAATAGACTTCTGCATCTTCAGCTCAGTAGGGGGCGGTAAATCACTAACTCGTTGCTCACAAATGACAATTAAAAAGAAGTAGAAGAAGAAAACACGCACCGGAATATACAAAGTTCCAGGGGTGTGGGTTTGGCCCATGGATGTATAATAGAGAGGCGAAGTCCCTCCCTTTCCGGTGGACCTCCGTGGGACCTTATTTCGGAAAAATTATGTATTGAAGTCAATACAATGGTCCCGTTTGAATTGTGCCACGAATTACACATAATGATGTTTGTCAATTTAAAAGATAATTTTGCAAGTAAAAAAAAAAAATGTTTTGCCGTAAAACTGTGAAGTAAGACTTTTTTTTGTGTGAAACCGTTCAATGAACTTCATCTCTGGTCCCGCACAACAACACACGTCACCAAGATGGCCGTCACATGTCTTGCCAAAAAAGGGATTGACTACCCTCACTATCACCACAATGAAACACGTCCAGAAGAATGTCATGCAAAGCTGCCTGCCTGCCTGCCTTCCTTCGATTCTCCCTGAACTGCCTGATCTTTTTAATGTTCAATGTTAACCATTTGTGCAGATAGCATGAAGTAGAAAAGATCGCCGATGCTAATGTAGCGTCAATGTTAGCATGTCTCCCCCGGGGGCATCCGGGCTTAAACGGTGTATTATAGAATGATCACACCGGTGTGACAGTACTCTTCAAAGGGTTCACGAAATATGACTACTACTCTACTGTTTAACACTTTGGTTAACTTAATGTTACTTCATGTTAAGGCTAATAAAAATTACACGGCTAAGGCTGTAATGCTAACTAACGTGCTTGCTACTAGCTAGGTAGCTAACTTGATCCAGCCACTCCTGGTCCTTTCATCAGACGGGAAGCGAAAGAACGAGCAACACCCATTGCTGGTATGATTACAACCTGGTACTAAGCACACAGGCATCTTGTTAAAGTTATCTTATCTTAGCTATCTCTTATATTTAGTGGAGGAAAACAGTTATGACATCACTTATGCGACTCTGGGATTTGTAGTCTTTCTAGTTGCGTATTTTTCATAGTCTTTCAGTTTTACGACAAACTGACTTTTTTGACATGGAAATTATTTTTTAAGATTGACAAACATATGTAATATCATAATTCATGGCACAATTCAAACGGGATCGAAAGATACGTTTTCTCTCCCCATTGACTTCAATACATAATTTTTCCGAAATAAGGTCCCATGGGTCGGAAGTAGATGGGCGGGACTTCACCTCTCTATAAGAACTGGATACAGCGTGGGAGGCGGGGGTCTCGTTCTTTTCCTATGAGAGCTGCTCATTGGCGCATGAAGTCAAAATGGCCCAACTTTTGAGAGAGCGAAACGTCACAGATTACCCGTCATGCCTGGCTGTCAGAGCAGAAGAACCCGTATGTGCGCTCACAGAGCATGCGCCCCTTAAGCCCCGCCCCCCGAGCTCCCACTCTCGGCACACTAGAATGAATGGAGAAAGAAAATAAATCTAGATTCGGCTTTTAGTGCATTTTACAACCTTAAGGACCTAATGATTATAATAAGGGCTATAAAATAGTTAATACTGGGTAGTTTATTTAGTTACAAAAAAACTATCCACCGATTTACAGACGTCTCTTTCCCCATGTTAGTCAATGGGAAAAAGTTGTTTTTGGCCGGGTGACGTCACGGACTGATACGGGAGTTGCAGTACCGCCGTTTGGACACAACAAATGTTGAGCACAGAGTCCGGCGCACTTCCTGGGGGCTTGGTTTGGCCAACAGTATCCAGCTGCAGCCGCAGTAGCAAGACGGTACACGACACGCCCCCCTAAACGACATGCCCACCTGACACGACACTACGGTGGCTGAGAGACATTAGGCTTGTTTGAGATGAGCGAGACCGACGCAGACCTGCGCAATTGCGATCGCCGTCTTGCTAGTGCGTTGCATGATGGTTAGTCATTTTGTCCGACTTGGGCTGAAGTCGAATAGTCCATTTAGCTTAGGAACCTTCCTAACGGAGTGAAATGACCCGGAAGTCCCTCAGTGGCAGCCATGATAAGTGCCGTTCGAATTCTCTAGATCAGGGGTTTTCAAAGTGTGGGAAGGTGAGCCTCCCCTCAGAGAACATAAGAACAGCCGCGCCCCCCCTCCCAATTATTATTGCTATTATTATTATTATTGTTGTTGTTGTTGTTGCTATAATGCAGGGGTATTATTATCCAGTGGAAAAGTTACGGTGCTTATTAAGCATTTTAAAACGTATGTGGTAACTTGCCAAAGTGCTTTGTTTTGAACGTTCATCAGTATTATAATCAAAAAGAGAAATATGAACGTTAGTTTTTACTGAAATGATCAAATAAAGTCAACATTTCACAGTCTTTACTGAGCTGTGTGGGGTTTGTTCAACTTTTAAAAGATGTTTGAATGGTGATATACACAGTGATAGATGTTAAGGACTAACGTTTATAATAAATACATCTGTATTTATTTTAAAATCTTTTCATAGTTCATACAATCATACGTATTGGGATCATTTGTATTAATGTGGACCGGAGGGAGAGGGTGACAAGCATAAGTTTCACTTTCCTTTTTTATTTCAATTCCAACTTTGGTCATGAAGAATATGTTTCTCTGTTGTCCACGTTCATAAAGCATAAAACAACAGCATCAGAGCACGATGCAGAGTCTCTAGATGAGTTTACAGTAGTCCCTCATTCTTATTGCTCCATAGTTTCTCTAGAAATAAAACCACCTTGTACATTTTACTCACACATAATCTGTTTCATATTTAATACTCCATAATTCCATATATTTTGAATATATATATATTTGTATATATATATAATATCTGTATGTATATTTTCTATTTTGTATTTTGACATGTATATTTTATATTTTATTTTATATTTTATTTTATTTTATTTCTATTCTTGTATATTTTGTTTTATTGTAAAATGCCTTTTATGCTGCTGTAACAAAAACAATTTCCCAATTTGGGATCAATAAAGTACGATCTATCGATCTATCTATCTATCTTATTAAACATCCATGTTGTAGTCCGCTGTATAGAAAACTGTAGTTTACATAGTTTCCCCACAGCAGCAGACGCACATTTATGACGTCCGCTGGCGCATCATAAACACGTCGGATAGTGAAAGTGCAGTCGGATTCTCTAAAGTACCGCAGTCTCTTCTCCTAAGTCCTTTTGAATTCTCCTATCGACTATCCCTTAACCCTGTGACGTTTCACTCAGAGGTCAAGGGATAGACGATAGGGATAGACGTTAGGAGCTGATTATTGGATTATTCGACTGCAACCTTGCTCTGGAGGCTCGACTACATGAGACAGTAGGCTTGTTTGAGACAAGCGAGACCTGCGCAGACCTGCGCAATTGCGATCAACGTCTTGCTAGTGCGTTGCATGATGGTTAGTCATTTTGTCCGACTTGCTCTGGAGGCTCGCCTACATGAGACGTTGAAATCTCGCGGGACAAAGACGCCCGCAGACTTGAGAGCGAGGCGGCGCAGTTTCTCTCCACGAGCTGCGGAAGCGAAATGCTTGATGGGAAACGACTTGCTGGTATCTCGAGCTGAGCGCTCATTGGTGGTTTTTACCCCGTGCTGGTGATGAAACTCTCCATTGGCTCGGCAAAAGTGTGTTGTTGTTTTGTGTCAGTTTTACGTCGCCACTTCCATTCACATTTTTCATCATTGTTCCACAATGTTTATCATCATTAAATTAATATCTATATATTTGTATACTATACTTGCACTGCTTACCGTTGTCATACTTTATATATCTTAGCATATTCATACAACACACTGTTCATACTAGGCTAGGCTACTGTGTATATAGTGTATTCATACCCCTCACTGTTTATTCATCATTCAATTCATTCTATATTTTATTCTGTAGATTGTGTACATTACTTTTCACTTTACTGCTTTATGCACTCCTGGTTAGAAGCTAAACTGCATTTCGTTGTCTCAGTACCTGTAATCTGTGCAATAACAATAAAGTTGAATCTAATCTTGAGCAGGAACAAATGTATTTACTTAGTACATATCTGACATTAACGATTAAACACATTTGTGCATTCTTTATAAATGCAAACTGGTCAAGACCACTGACGGAAGTAGTTTTGAAAAGTAGTGGTTCTGTCTTTTACATGTAGGATTCAACCCCCCTTGTATTGATTTGTTTTAAAATGAACAGACACTTGAGTCATTCATTTGTAGTGATATAATAATTGTGGGATTTCTATTGCATCCACTTCATCTGCAAT